AAATTTTTATTAAAATTTTAATTTTTAATTTTTGATAATGTTAGATTAAAATACATTAAATAAAATTTATGATTAAATAAAAAAATTATTTTTATAAATTATTTAAATTAGGTTCTTTTAAAATAGATTCAAATTTTTCTATATAGCCAATTTATATTGTTATTACATTTATTTCAAAACTTTTTTTTTATAGAAAGATTTTTTAGGATTCACTTATTCATTAATCCAAAAGCGAAGACGATTCGAATTTTATTGTAAGAACTTTTCGCGACTTTTTATTATATATATATATATATTACATAAGCGACAGGTTTTTCCCAAAAAAAAAAGGTTTTCCAAATTAACAGATCTTTACTAAATCTAAGAAAATTTTCGAATAATCTTTTTTATACTAATATTCTAATAATCATCTTTAGTTACACGATCATACCAAATAACCATCTCTAGCACAAGCCACACAAAATATATGATATGTAGTAAAATGCAATAAAAATGATCTTGATTGAACCTGTCAAACTCGTTCATATTTTTTTTTTTAAAAAAAAGTTCATATTATCTTATTAAACTTGTCGAGCACGAAAATTCTTAACTTTATACTTTCCTTTTTACTTTTACGCGTAAAACCGTCTAAAAGATGCGACGTGAAGTAAGAATTTTGCTTGTTGGAGACGGTAAGTTTGATTCTATTTTATCTAAAAGTTGGGTTCAAAATTATTTATTCTGTCTTTTTGTTGATCTTGTGATTCAGACGGTGTTGGAAAGAGCACATTGATAACGTCTCTTATCAAGGAAACATTTGTTACTGACGTAAGTATCTAAATGTAAAAGTTTTTTATTAGATTCTTTTCCTTTATATAATGACTGTACAAATTTTTTTCTTTATACATTTCAATAGCTTCCGCATGTCGTTCCTGAAGTTACTATCCCACCTGAAGTTACTCCCGAGAATGTAACAATACGTATCGCAGATTCATCTGGTAATTGATTTCTTTAATTATAATTTGATTTAATTCTTTTGTTCTAAATTCGATTATCTTTTTATATAAAAAAAAGCTCGACCCGAAAATCGCGAACAATTAAATATAGAAATTAAGAAGGCGAACGTAATATGCATCGTTTATGCGATAGATAATCCGCATACGTTTAATCGCCTAGCATCATATTGGTTACCTTTTATAAGAAGTCTCGGCGTAAATGTGAGGAATTAGAATGATAATTTTAAGATATAATAGAAAATTGAAAGTGAATGATTTAACATAACTTTGAATTTCTGCTCAACAAAGGGCGATTTTGTTTACTAATTTAGATAATTTACTCATCCATATACGGTGTTCGCAGGTTCCAATTGTATTAGTAGGAAGTAAAATCGACCTTCGAGGTGATCAAATTACCAATCAATCATTAGAAGACGAAATAAAACCTATTATGAATGATTTTAAGGTAGACTCGATTTTTTGGGAATATTATGTGCAAATTAAAAATTAAAATAATCATCATGAATATTATTTGTAGGAAGTTGAAACATGTGTGGAGTGTTCGGCAAAGCAAACATTAAATGTTTCTGAAGTTTTTTATTTTGCGCAAAAGGCTGTATTACATCCAACCGCACCTTTGTATGATTCTCGGGAACATGTATGTAATAAAAATATTCATTTTTTTTTAAAAAAAAATAAAAAAAAAAATTCAATATTAATTAATTATAGGTATTGAAACCAGCCTGCATTGAAGCTCTCAAAAGAATCTTTAATTTATGTGATCGTGATAAGGATGGAACACTTAACGACGATGAATTGAATGAATTCCAGGTTATTTAAGTTTCTAAGATGATTTATCAATTTATCAAAAAAGGGTAATACTAAGATTTGGTTGGATCATTGCTGTAATATTAGCGAAAGTGTTTCAATGCGCCATTGCAGTCACAAGAACTTGAAGGAGTTAAAGAGGTCGTGAAGGAATTTGAACCATCCGGTGTCAATGATGTAGGATTGACAGAACTAGGTTTTTTATTTCTTCATACTCTCTTTATACAACGTGGACAGCTCGAGACTACATGGATTGTTTTAAGGAAATTCGGATATGGTGATGATTTGTCGTTAAGAGAAGATTTCCTTCTCCCCTTGTAATTATTTCATTTAGCTTTTAAATATTTTTGTTATACATTGTGATAATATAAATTAACAATTATTTTTTTAGTATTGAAGTTCCGCGTGATTTTTCAGTTGAATTAAGTCCTTTAGGGTATCAATTCTTTACGGAAATATTTCAAGTTTTTGACAAAGTAATCTTTTGACCATATATCATTAGATGTTAATATTTTATTGTAACTTTACTCATTATTATTTTTCTAAATTATTAAACATTTGGATCATAAGGACAAAGATGGTGCATTAAAGGATAGCGAATTGGTACAGTTATTCAGTACTTCACCAGGAGATCCATGGGTAAATTCTGATTTTCCTCATACTACAATTACTAATGATGCAGGAGCTGTTACTTTACAAGGATGGTTAGCACAATGGAGGTAGGAGTAAGTGCTTGAATGTTTGTGCCAAGTAATGTAATGTTGATAAATTATGTTATGTCTAACCCAATTCGAATTATTCACGATTCAAAAGTATGACGACACTTCTCGATTATAAGACAACGTTGTCGTACCTGGCCTATTTGGGATTTGAAGGCGATGCACGAATGGCCTTAAAGGTGACAAAGCCAAGAAAAGCTGATAGGAAAAGAATCAAAGTGCAACGTAATGTTTTTTTAGCGTATGTATTTGGTGCAGCCGGTTCTGGTAAGGTAAGGTGTTTTTGTTGGGCAATAACATTTAGAATTATACAACGCAAAAAATAAATTGCATCTAATTAAATTACTGTCATTGTTTTTAGACTTCCCTATTGAAAGCTTTTGTTAACAAGCCATTTGCAAATGGTGGTTATACACCCACTATGAGGTCTTTTTGTGCAGTGAATTCCGTAGAAATTAAAGGTGCAGAAAAATATTTGGTGGTATGTCTTATCATAAAAGTATACTGAATGTGACAATGGATTACTAATATCATTCTATGCTATTCTATTAGTTGCAAGAATTTGGTTCAAAATACGAGGCAGAAATACTTCAGAATAAACGCAAAATGGAAGCTTGTGATTTGCTTTGTTTTGTGTTTGATTCTAGTGACGTGAATTCATTCTCATATATTGTAGAACTGCGGGTTAGATCGAATTAGAGATTTATAGAATCTTAGATGTTTGTTTTCATATAGGTTAACCTTATCATTCTCATTTATAGAAACGACATAATTTAGACAATTACCCTACAGTGTTTGTTGCTACAAAGAGTGATTCTGATCTAGTTCAACAGGTTCACGATTATTAACGACTTCTCGCATTGTATATTCCCTATTTAATAATTATTTCATTAATTTATTTCATTAATTATTTAGCGTAATGAAGATCAACCTGATGTGTATTGTCGTGCCCTCGGCTTATCTGGTCCTGTTAGTGTTTCCGTAAAGAAACAACAAACAGCAGATTTATGGAATCATTTAGTAGGAGTAGCAATTAATCCAGTTCTTGCTACACCAGGGCTTGCAGGTTCAGCACATGAATCTTTTAGGGTCAAAAAATATTTAACGATTACGGCAATTATGGGAGCTTTAGGAGGGGCCGCCTTCTTAGGATATAGATTATATCAACAACAACGAGGATTTGGAAACATATCGAAGCGAGATATACTATAGATTTATTTACTATAATTTTTTTTTTCTTTTTATTGTTTTTAAGGACTAGCATTAAGTTACGACAAAATTAGATAATTTTTTTTATTTTTATTATGCACTCTTTATATATATTAAATTGATTTTTTTTTTAATTTTCTGCCAACTTACTAGACAACTTAACAAAAAGTAGCAAAGTGCATTAAAAAAAAAATCTTTTTTTTATGAATTTTTAAAATTGTTAAAGAAATAGCGTTTTTGCCTAAGACCCAATGATCATTAACGATTTATTATAACAAATTATAATAACTCCACCCATGATTCCTTTATGGAAAATGCTTGCTTAAATAGAAAATTTTTAAGGTTAACGCAGACGTCTTGCTTCACGTTCAGATTCCAAAAGACACAAGATATCCTCCTCACGGACTGGTCCTTTAACGTTACGGATAATTGAACGACTTGAATCATCCATGAATTCAACTCTAACTTGAGTTACACCACCTCGAGAGCCAGTACGGCCAAGGACCTTAACGACTTTTGCAAGTTTAACTGGTTGTTTTGCGTCCTATTAAATCGAAAAAATTAATATTCTAAATTTTAAAGTTAAAACACTGAATCCAATAGATTCCTAATTACCATAATATATTATTCAAATCAAGATGCAAAGATTAAATTCAAATTTTATTTCGTCGTTTTTTTATGATAGGTCCTTAAAGAAGAATGATGAAAAGGATTGAGATCAAAAAAAAATAATGTTGGACCTTTACATATAAAAAAAAAATCTTTTCTGACCAATGAGAATGTATTTGTACAACAACGCCAAATAACCATGTGGCAAATTAGTGACAATCACGAAGAACCTAAACTCCTGGTCTATTTTAAGGACGCTCAATTATATTTTATTGCTATTATTTGTCACATAGCTAATTTCTGGCTAGAATATGAAACCATCGATGTTAATTAATATATTTTATAAAATAAGTTTTATTTATCAATAATTATACTGTTCATTATAAATTTTTGTTTGATTAAACTCTAAGCATTACATGTTTATTGATTATTAATATTGCAATTCAAGATGTAAACTACCACAAACAAAAACAAAATATGCAATCAATATAACTTTGAAGCGTAAAAATAATTACAATGTTCATTTTCACACGAATCCTCTAAGCTCGTCGTGTATTCGGACCAATGATTAAGTACCAGCTGTTCTCGAAAGGACTCCTGAGAATAAAACTTTAGGTTATTATAAATAAATATAATCATTCAGAGGTAATAACGGTAATTCTTACGCAAGGAGGTAAATAATTGCCATTAAATGAGCTATAATAACGATGAAAGAAACATTCAACCATCTCTTATACCAATCTTTATTGACTTCAATTGTTATTGCTCGTTGATCAAGTCTTTCCACAGTAACTTTCAATTTTCGGAATTCTTCTTCTCTTTCCGCGAGGTTCGTCTTGTGAATTCTTTCCATTTCGTGGACTTGATTTTCCATTTCTCTGACCTTGGTTTCCAACTGTTTTCGTTCATTTTTTATATATTGAACTTTTTTCTCTAATTCATTTTTATCGTAGCCTAATCTAGTGATTATCCCATCATTGCGATCACATTCGATTTTAAATTCGATATATTCAGCTTCTTTTGCTTCTAATTTATTTTTTAATCCTCGCTTATGCTCCTTCAGTTTTTTATTCTCTTCTTCGATAGCACGAATTCTTCTTTCGGCCGTTTTTTGAATTTCCTCATTAAATGTAGTTTCAAGTTCGAAGGACGTGTCCGCAAGTTTATTAACTCTTTCTTCATATGACTCGATCGCTTCATGAATCTTTGCATCATACTCTTTAGCATAAAAATCAATCGCTTCTTTGATTTTATCACGAATAATTTGATCAGACATGACTCTGTCGTCCACCAATCTTTTCATTACTTCAGCCTCGCTCTCTTTGATCTCTTTTCGGAGATCTTCATATAATGACTCCAGAATATCTAACCTTCCAAATAATTTTTCCGCCTCTTCTTGAACGGATGTAATCATCAAAGCAATTTTTTTGGCCCTATCTTCTTCAAGGTGTAGAAGGATATTTTTTTCATTTTCTTTGAGTTCTTTTTGTAAACGATTTTCTAATCCATCCTCGTTTTCTTTTAATAAAGTTATTCGACTATCGAATTTATTCAAATCCTCTTTTATATCTCCTATATTTTTATGAGCTTCGGTACTCATTAAATCAATTTTACGTCCAAGATTTTCCAATTTATCACGTAATGAGACTTCTGATTCATTTGTTTTGCGTTCAAGTTCTTCCGATTTGACTTGTATTGTCCGAATTTGTTCTTGACTGTTTTGGTTAAGTTGTTCAATCTTTGGCAACTTTTTCAAATTACTATCCATTAAATTTAAACTCTTTTCAAGTTCATCATATTTTGATAATGCATCTCGTATTTGACCATTGAATCTTTCATTTTGTTTATCAAATTTTACATTTAAATCATCAGCGTTCTTGCGAGCTTTGTCTTGCAAAGCTTTAAACCATTTTTCAATATCTGGAACCTTTGTTGTTGTAAAAACTTGAAGTTCTTTTACATTCTCCTGCATTTCACTTGTCGCCTTACTGATTTCATCCACCAAATTTGAAAGGTCCTTCATCTTGCTACGTACATCTTCATTCTTATCGCTTTGACGATCGATAGACTCGTCAAATTTTTGAACCAAACAATTGATGGACGTGTCAAATTCGAGGCGAACATTATTCGTGCAATCATCCGTTTTTTCTGCGATTATGAATTGCATGCACTCTTGTATAACTGGTTGTGCATTTTCTGGTTGAGTATTTACTTCAAGTAACGTTTCTTTACGTGTATTATCAACGTTTTCCTTAGGATCGATATCTCCAACCTTAACTTTATTGGAACCTTTTTCGATTCCTTTTGTTAAACATTTTATTTCCGAATTAGAGTATGATTCTTCAGGTTGAAGTTCAACAACGTTTTCAGGTTTCTTGGATTTGTTTTCTAATTCAGATTTCATAACTTCAACGTCATCTAATAAATTATTATATGTGATTTTGATATTAGAATCGATTTTTTTATGAGTATCTTCCAATATATGTTTAGCGTTTCGTTTACTTTGTAGAACTTTTTTCGTTATTTTGTCATCTTTATGCAATTGAAAGCTTTCATTCGAATCGATAGTTGCGGCATCAGACATTAAAGAAATATTATTATCACTTTGTTGAGATCCAATATCTTCATTAGATGCCATGATTTCTAAGATAAAACAAAAGGATTCACGTAATTATCACGTAATTAGCACATTGTTCAAAAAATCAGATACGTGAAATTTATTCCCCTAAATATATACAAGAATATTTTGATTTCTTGCAAGTTCATATAATAATAATAATATATGAAAGGAAGGAAATAACCGTAATACATTTATATTACGTATTAGGAATGTTATACTCACATAAAAAACGCGTCTTTCAAAAAAAAAAAAAAAAGTTTTATCTTGGCGAAGCGAACAAATGGCAAAAGTTGAATTCGAAAAAGACTTGTCAATTAAGAAGACAAAAAACCGGTAAGGGTGAAGTAGATTTAATTGCGCGGGAAGTGATCACTTTTATTAAGACGAAAAATAGGGGTATATCTATTTTAAAAAAGAGATTACCTAATTTAGACTTTTTCCATACACTTTTATACTATTAAAAAAAAAAAGTCAAAGAATATTACATACATATTTTACATTTACGTGCGTTTCAAGACAATAGTTAATGACGCAATACAATTGCAAACTTATCAAACTTATCGCATAAAGGAGTTTAAAAAAAAAAATTTCATTTAAATCTTGAAATCATCTAAATCATCCATAATTAAATAAGGCTTTTCTTTTGCAAGATGTAAAATAGTTTCACCAAATAAACCGTTTGCCCAACTATAAATTAAAATTTTTTTTTTTAAACAAAAATTTTTTTTTAAAAGCAATTAAGTAAATCATAACCTACGCAAACCATGGTCTTGTATAATTATTTGGATTATTATAATAAAAAGATTCATGCATTAATCCAGTCATAGCAGTAGATTCTTTAAGTATCTGTAAAGTTTCTAAAATCTCTCGATCGTTTGCTGAGGTCAAAATCTAAATATCAATAATAATAAATAATGATATATTATACTTGATATAATATACACACGTGTATTTGGATTATAAAGTAAATAAATTTACCATCATACATAAACTCATTGGCCAAATATAACCTAATCCAGTATGCGGACTTCCAACACCATGAAATTTCATTCCGCCAAACCAAAATTTGTTCCAATCACTTAAAATCAATTCTCTAGTTTTCAAATAAATTTTATCGTTTTTGTCAATAAATCCTAAATATGGCAGGCTTAAAAGGCTTGGTATATTAGCATCATCCATTAAATTTGAGGAACCATAACCATCAACTTCATATGCAAAAACATTTTTAAATTCTTTATGCGAAATTATTGCGTTGTAATAAATGGCATCATTTATGGCGCGAGATAAATTTTTAGCTTGCTTGGCAATGTCAGGGGAAGTCAATTTAATCATTTCATGAAGATGTGAGAGTTCAACTGAAGCTAAACAATTTGCTGGAATTAAGAAAGGAAACGTTGTGCTATCATCAGAAGGTCTAAATTGTGATTTTACAAGACCTGAAAAATATAGAATATAGAATATACTGAATTTACATTTATCGATTAATAAAAATGTGTAAAGCTTGAAATATCCTTACCAGTTCTTCGAACAGGAGCTCCTAATTTTTTTTAATGAAGAATTAAAAAAAAAATAATCAATCAAATAAAATGTTTACATGATATGATCAAAATTCTCACCGATTCCTTCCATCATCAAAGTTTCAGTTGTAGTTCTCGTCAATCGTGAAAATTTATAAGCAGCATTTCCAAATTCTTGCATTGTACCTAATTGTTGTTTTTCCATGATGTTTAAAACCGTGGTAACAGCTTCTAGCCAAATTTTACTTGTCAGGAAACCGTCATCTTTAGTATGAGACCAATAATTATATGATAATTTTAGGAAAGAAGCTAAAGAATCAAGTTCCCATTTCTTTTCCCATGTAACATTTGAAATAGGTGGGGTTGATTTGTCAGTAGTGGACCATGGATTTTCTGGATGAGGAAGTTTCGATTCGGGTGGAGCGTAATATGCATTCGCATATGGGTCCTATTGAATCGAAAAACAATCTTTTTTTTTTTAGAGCTGATATGAGAAACATGTAAGGATCGAATTTCTACCTTGACAATAGATTCAGCCTGCATATATATGATACCCAAGATAAGTTTACACAATTTCTCATCATCTTTTGCATAGGGAACGTATGAAATAATTTGATTTGTCGAATCTCTCAACCACATTGCTCTAAAGGACGAAGATTTTTTTCCAAACGTCAGCGTATCGATTGATAAACAAAAAGAAATGAAAGAATTTTTATTACGGAATATCTCCGGTAACTATAAATGTTCTTGGATAACCTTTACTATCATCAAACCAAGCTATTGTCGTATCTACATTATAAAATCCGGTTAAAATATTTTCAATCCTTTTTGTCTTTTATCTTTAATCAAAATAATATTTAATTTACCTAGAGTATTTGGCCAACAATTTTCAAATAATCTTGCCAAATCTTTATCCTTCATATTCAAAGTTATCTTTTTAATAATTTCTTCAACAATAGGACTAATAAATTTGCGTTCAGATTCCTTAGGACGAACTAATGGAAATTTCGATTGATTTCCAGCTTTATTATAAGGGATAATATTCCATGGTAAATGACTAGTAGATTGAATTTCTTCACTTTCGGATAATTGGGCCATAGCTATCAAAATTGCTAATACCACTAAAATAAATTTCAGCATAAACATTTAATGTCTTTAAAATTATAGAATTTGTAAGAAATTGCCCTTGTTAACGAGCAAAAAGGTTCATTTAAAAGATTTAATTTTGTGCTACTGAAGATAACTGGACTAACCATTATCACATTAACCTTTCAAATTTTTCATATTTATTATGTATTTTTGATTCTTTTAAAACCAAATGGCCCTAATGATGATTTTCTTAAAGATATACAAACGACATTCCGTATTTAATTTGATTGGTTAGATGTATATTAATTGCATATTTCTGAAAGTTTTTTTTCGAGTTAAAAAAAACCGGCGACAAAATATTTAATTAGCTTGTTTTTATTTAGCTGGATTGACCGTATATTTCTAGTAGGTATTACTCGATATTTGAGATTTAAATGTAATTCTTTACTTTACGTTAATCAAAATTTTGTTCTTATTTATTGCTTAATATTGTGTGATATGCTTTTAGTGAGGTTTCTTCATGTAGAATAAATTGTTGATTTACTAAAGGGAGTTTGTGTAAAATCCCAATTTTTATGAATAAAAGAATAATATCCTTATAAGGTAATATAGAAATAAGATATATATATATATAAAGAAATTTTTGTCCCTTTTTTCTATAAGCATTTGATTACTAGTTTGTTTATAATTTTCAGAAAAAGGATTGCTATATCAGAATGATTTTACAGTTATTCAGGTTTAATTTAGGTCAAGGTTGGAAATTTTAAAATATATTAACACTGTTTTTGTACTATATTTTATATTAATTATTATAATGTATTAACTATACTAAACATTGTACTAACTAAAGATGGATACCATAATTAAGAAGTTGCAACTTGGTTGCAACTCCTTGTAAATTTATTTTAATATAAAAATTCATAAATAGTTGCAACTCAAAGTGTTGCAACTTAAGTTGCAACTAGTTAAAAATTTTAAAAATAATTATGGAAACCATCTTTAGTACTAACACTATACTTTCCAACTCTGATTTAAGATAATATTAGTAAATGATCTTCAAATGACCTCATTTTAATATTTTAATTATAATTTTCAAGTCAATATGATCAAGTTCATTTAAAAAAAAATAGTATAATTTATCATTACTGTTTAAGGTAAATGTTAAAAAAGAATAAAATTAAAAAAATTTCAATAATTTATTATTAACTAATTTAAATGTAACTTTTTATCATTTGATTCAAAATTTTAATTATTTTAAAAAAAAATTTGGGGGTTTATTTGCATTTATTTATATACAGTGAGACCTCTCTAAATGCATCCTTTTAGGATCATAGTGAAAATTTGAAAAAAATGTGCATTTAAGGAGGATGTGCATTTAAAGAAAGAAATTTTGTATGATTTTTATATACTTATGGCTGTGTGGAATGTGCATTTATAGAAAAAATATATGTGTGTGCATTTAGGAAGGGTGTATTTAGAGAGGTCTCACTGTATATAAACTGTTATCTATATATATGATTTTATAATAACTATTACTAGTGATACCTGACTAAACACTTTTTTGAAAAATTGTAATTTCGTCAAAAGTTTCTTCTCTTTAATATTTTATATGAATAAATATAAAATTATTATATTTTTTAATGTATTTTAATTCAAGGAATTTAGATCAAGTTAAATATAATTTCAGCAATTAAGTAAAATAATTTTGTCATTAATAAAAAACTAGTTTCGTCATTTCGGTTTCATCGATTTCATCATATTAAGAAAGTTAATTTCGTCAGATATCACTAACTATTACCTAAATATATACAGTCAAAGTTGATTTGTTATAGTGAATTCTGTTATAGTAAAATTATGTTATAATGAATTATTTTTAATTTACCAATTTAATTAATTATAATAAATTTTTCTTAATATAATGAACTCTTAATAAAATCTTATTATAGTAAATAAAAATGATTAGAATCAAGAGTTTGCTTTGACTATAAATAATATTTTATGTTATTTTTATTATTAAAAAACATATATATTAATTTTACTATTTTATAATTCTTATATTAAAGAACTATTTATATAATCACATTCTTTTACACTGTTTTGTTTTATTAAAAAAATAAGCTTTATTTACATCTTTTATTTTTTTATAAAATTAGAAAAGTTATAAATTATTAATATTTAGAATTTATAAGCTTTAATATAGTTTTACCTTTTTAATATATTTTTTCTACTTATTATTAAAATTAATTTACAAATAATTATATTTGCAAAAAAAAATTTTTTTTTAAATATTTATTATTCTATTTTTTAGATTTAATCTTTTAATATTATAAAAATTTTTAAATAGCTTTCTTAAATTTAATATAGTTCAGTGCAAAAAGATTTGTATACTGCCAAAAAAAGAAAAGATTTATG